TGACCTGCCTCCAGAATGCCCAGCTTAAGCCTTTACAAGCAACAGTCATTTTACTGGCTACACAAAAAGAAGACAGTTGAATTGTATACTGGAACCATTCCCCAAATCAGATGATGTCAGAATGGCTGAATTAAACCCATACTGAGTAGGCAAGCTGAAACTGATTTTGGGGTCATTGTTTGATTTCTTGGAGGAAAAGTAAGCCAGTCTTGTGGAAGGGAAGGAGCATCGTCTTTCTGGAGCATCTTCTTACAAATGCAAGTTAAAATCAAATGAACAGGAGCTCTGCCAATATGCAAATTTCAGGCTGGCTTGTGCAGGAGACCTTCCTAGGCGCCTGTGCCCACAAAAAGCAAACCAACTTCCCTCCGCAGCAAATTTGTTCAACTCACAAACTGAGTTGCCTGCAATCTGAGCTTTCTGTGGAAACAAAACTCACCAGCAATCCTCTCTTCAAATAGGGATAACCCGTCCCCCATTTTCTGCATACAAATGGCAGTCAAAGAAAAAAGGAAAAAATCTTAATTTAAAATGCTGTAGCTGCAACAAGTAGAAATGCAATGGGTGAAACAGTCAAACCAACCATATTTTTCAGTTGTTGGAGCAGATTGATAGTAGATTTTTATTTTGGGGGGGCACAGCAATTTTCTTAGGCAATTAAAGCTTTTTGAATTCTTCAGCTTTGTTAAGAGCATAAAGGCGTCTTCCATTGATTTCCGTGTTTTTTTTTTAAGCGATAGAAACATCAATTGGAGGAGGTTTTGGGTCACTGACGTAATTGATGAGAAATACATGCAAATCAGACCGTATGCTCCTCACTTCAAATTTCACTTGATTTCTTTTTTACACTACTCATAAAGATGTCATCTATCAAAAACAACTCCAATAATTTGGTATAACCATCACATTGTCTTACCTGGGCTTTACAAATTTAAACATGTTTCTATTCCCAACCCCCAATTACATAGAAGCTGCACTGACTCGAATGGGATTCCTCCAATCTTATACACACTTACCTGGGAGTAAGTACCATTCAGCGCTGCAAGTTTTACTTATGAGTAGTCATGCATAAGATTGCACTCTCAGGATCACCTCTTTAAGCAAGCGCAGTTTAAAAAAATCTCCAAAGAATGTTAGGCTACATTGTGACAACTTTAACAGATTTCAGTTTAGCATTGTTGGGACTGTTTGTTTGTTTGTGGGAAAAAATGAAAGCATTTTTAAACACAAAAATAAAAATATTAATTCATATTATTTTGATATCTTTAAAAAGTGTTACAGAGCCCCCTTTATTCTGAAGGTTAGGGGCAGGTCACAATTTTGTTTCCTCTTCATGGTTTATTTTTAGTTTAGGACCATGAAAAAACATGTTATATTAGGATAATGCCTTGGGACACTGAGCCCCCAAATCAAATCTTCATGAGGGAAAAAATATAAAGCAAAACAACAAAACAATCACAAGGATAGCTTCAACACAAGAGAATTTTTAAGCTGTGAAAGCAGGATATTTATATGAATAAAAATCTGAAAGAAAGAGTAGTTAGAGGATCATGCCTACGGAAACAGACACTGAACATCAATCCTCTGTTTTCAAAAATGCCAGATCTATAGATTTTCTTACTCTGAAAACCAATGAGATACTGTGAATATCTGCAAAATCTTTTTTAAGCACCTAAAGGCAATCCTACAAATTAAAATATTTTAAGGGGCCACCTTTCCACTGAATATGTTTTTACCCTACCGGGAGTGGAAAATACATAATCCACAATGAGGTTCTCCTGTACAATCTCCACTGTAATGAATGGGCCTTCTGCAGGAGACCTTCCCACTTGAGTGTGCGTTGACCTACGTTAGCTTAGAGGCAAAATCGATGATATTAAGATTAACTTCTGCAACAACTTTGTTCTCTCTCATTCTCCCTCTCTCTCTCTCTCTCTCTGGGCAATATATGCCTATCCCACAAAGTAAAAAATATTCCCCAGAATATGCTTTACCAAAGAAGGAATTAAATGAAAGAATAAATATAGCTGAAAGGGGGAGTCGGGGTTATGCACTGGAGAAGATATAACCACAGGAAAATGGATCCTCCCCTGCCTTTTCCATGCCATACATTTCCCCACACTGGCCAGTTCACTTCAAAACAAACAGGTTATGTATGTGCTTATGCAGGTTTGGCTTGAATGGATTAGATCCTATGGCTTCAATCCAGAGAACTGTTGGAGAAGCAGAATGTTGCATCATGCCTGCTTCTGTATCCAAGAACACACAGCAACTAGTGTGTAAACGGCTTTAACATCAATTCCCACAAAGGGGCGGGTATGGAACAACCCACAGGGTTGACCATGTGCTACAGACATTTGGGAGACAGAGCATTGTTCTTGGCTCTGCAGGCTTCCCTGCACTTGGTGCGCCACATACACACCTCGAAATCTATTCCTGCACTCCAGTTACGATTGCTTGATGCAACTTAATCGTATCCATCCATGCATTTGGACCAAAGATTTGCTTTCAAAGTCCAAACAATGTTGGCACACTGATCCTCCTAAATATGTTTACTTGAAAATAAGTTCCCTTGAAATCAATGAGATTTATTTCCAAGATGATTAGTAGAATGATACCATACTTGGAGGTCAGTCCCATTGAACTCAGTCAAAGAGTGTATAGGACTGCAGTCAGAATTAGGATTGAGCTATGATTCTTTGATCTCAGTTAACTCCAACAACTTGCAAGCTTAACAGAAGCAAATAGGAATTGTGTGCAAAAACTATATATCAATGGAATTTGACACCTTACAGATTGAACAGGATTTATAAGACATATACACAGCAAAGGTGGGTGCATTCATAGACAATGTTGAATGCTTACATGTTTGATGGGAAACTTCTTGTGTTGAAACAAGAGCATTAATTGGAAAGAGATTTTCTGGAATACTTATAAGAGGTATAAAACCTAAACTTCCTTTGGTTTATATGCTTAAAGGATGTAGTCAACTCCCAGGGCAAGGGCTTTTGCCTGCAAATCTTTTTACAGCAGCAAAAATGTACTAGCCCTAACCTAAAATGCCTAATCCAGATGAATGAAAATATGAGAGGCCATTACATCTATGGAGAAGTCAAGAGCAACCAATGAAAAAGAGTTGAATTTGACATTAATTGTTCGGTCTTTATGTCGTGTTGGGATCAAAAGTATGAAGCTGTCCTTTGTACCCCATCATAGATTTTCTTTTTTCTTTTTTAATGGCAGTTTAAAATGGGAGGGGGATGAAAAGCTACAATTCACAGAACAACAGAAATCATGTACACAAATTAAGATGAATTGATTTTAACTCTGGATATCTTTATTTGTAAATCTCTTTCACATTGTTTTGAGTGCTGTGGCAACAGAGCTGGAAAATGAATTCATGTATTTTACAGAATCAACAGAATTCATATACTGTGGCCTTGCACTGCTCCCAGTCATTCCAAATGGGGCTGTCAAACATTGTACTCTCTATATATTTAATATAACAACACATTCCTATGAAAGTTTACTCCAAAATAAGTCCCACTGTCAGAACTACAATAACTCTTCTTTAAAAGAAAGAAAAGTAACTCCATAAGAAAATATAACTGGAAAGCAAAATAATACAGAAAGTCACTTAAATGAATAAATACACACTTAAGCTACTAAGAGATAAAGATTGATGGAGAAAAACAGTAACCCCCCCAAAACACCATGAAATAATAATTACTCTATAAGGTAGACTGTAATTATTGGAAAGCAAAAAAAAAAAAAAAAAAACTGGTTTTAAAAATGCAAGCCTTTTATGTATGAAAAGATGAATGAATATCATTCTGGAGCTCGGTAGCTTTTTGGTGGAATTCTAAAGGCTATTACCCACCAACTATTCTTAAAACATCTTTAGCAGAGACTGATATTAAAGAAAATGATCCTTTACTCCCTTCCAACAAACCCGCTTTTCAAAACTACATACCTACATAAACAATCCTATCTAAAGATTTGGCAGTGATCTCTGTGTGTGTAAACTTCAAATGTAATACATTGACAAATACTGAGAAAGGGCATTAAAATGTATTCTAAAAAAATGTGATATCACAGATATTTTTCCATACAGTATTTTAAAGGCAAGATTGAAAGAATCCTGCATGAGGAAGATGAGCAGATGGCTATTTGGACACACATGTTCACATACATTAAAAATTCTTATATTTGCCTTTCTTTGAACATACATGTATATGAAACTCCTCTACAGCTTTGGATGGTGTCAGATTGACTCTTAAATGAAAGGGGGTTTTTTATATGAGGGTTTTACATGGGGGTGTGTGTTAAATGTTGGGGGTTTTGTGACATCACCAGGTTAAAGTACCCAATCAGCTCGCACTCTGGAGAAAATTATTTCGTGGGGTGTTTCCTATAATATACTGTACTTCAAGTCTGTCTTGAAGAAAGAAGCAAGCAAAAAAGGTGGACATGACACGGATTTTGGTGTGCGCTGTAGGTGATTGAAAGCCCTATTTTTTCACATGGGGGGGGGGAGGCTGAAAGTGTTTTGTTTTTTTTCTCTTTCTGCCTGAAACCTTGGTTGGTTTTAAAAGCCCTAGCTGCAAATGCAGAAAGGGAGCTTTAAAAAGAGGCACAGGGAAAGGGGGATAATTTCTTGTCCCTCCCCCGCACCCCCCGGGGAAAGGTTTGCTTCTAGGAGCAAAAGGTATCAAGAGAAGGAGAAATGACTAAGACAAGGCAACATTTTTCGCCTTTGGCAACCTCTCTGGATTTTTAGAGGGAAGAAGGGGAAAAAAGCGCCGGAGAAGAAAAAGAAGGCGGCTCCGGACCCTCAAGAGATGCGTTTGAAAGGAAAATTCATCACTCCACGACGAGGGGTTGATTTGGGGGGGTAGATGGGAGATGGGGAGGGGAGGGGTTGAGAGAAGAACCCCTCTTTCTAGCTCCCCCGCTGGTGGCTACGAAGGGCCCCTTTTCAAATAAACACACAAACAAACATGTTTCTGACCTGCGGGATGGTTCCAGCCTCCGCCGCTTCCACCATGGATTACAATGGAGATTTCCAAGCTGGTTACCAGGAAATCGACGGCATCAGCTTGGGTTACCTGCAGATTAACGGCACACGGATGTTCGCTTTGACTCAGGTCTTCAGCGACCTGTTTAAGGGCATCCCCCGGGCCACGGTGAGCAAAAAAATGGAGAGCCTCAAGATCCAGAGCCGCCGATGCGACCTGAAGGAGCTGCGCACCCTCAAAGCCATCCAGTCCGTGCCGATGCGCGCCGTCAAGTGTTCACTCATCTCCAAGACAGACCTGGAGGCCCTCTGCACCTCCTGCAAGGCCCTGGCCCCCAGGAGGAGGAAAAGGAAGAGGAAAAACAAGAGAAGAGAGCCCGGGGACCCATTTAACCGGCCCCGGTTACTCCCTGCGTACAGCGCTTCCGACAGCACCTTCCGTGCTAACGTGGGTGCTGGATGCACCAAGCGGGACGCGCTCTTGGCTGCTCCGTTCAGCAGAGGCTACGAGAAAGCCGCGCCGACCCCCAAAAGCTACAACCGGAGCGGCAGAGGGCAGCTCCTGGCCGGCGTGCTAAGTGCGTACCCGAGCGACTTGCAACTCCTGCACTCGGCTGTCAGGGCGCACGGAACCGGCCAGCCGACTAGCGAGCCAGATGCCGGGCGCACCAAACGTTCCACTTGCGGATGCCTGAGCAAGAAAGGTCGCTCGGCATCTTTCGCAGGCTCTAAGAGGCAAGGCACGTCAGCCGGCTACTCCAGCGACTCGGACTCCAGCGGTGCCTCCAGCCTAGCAAGCTCCAGCGACTCTTCGGAAGATGAAGAGGACGACGAGGATGACGAGGACGACGACTCGTCTTGCAGCAGCGAGGAGGGCAGCTCCTCCGGGTCAGAAAGCAGTTCCCTGTGCAGCGGGGACTCCGTGCAAAGCACCCGCTACAGACAGGCAGCCCTTCCCCGTATCCCACCTCAATCTGCCTCTTCCCAAGCCCTTCCCGGCGTAGTCAAAGGCTTGCGCCCCGACCCGAACTTACTCTTTTGGGCCCGGACGCTGCGCGCCTCCACTTTGGAAAGTTTTAAGTCGGCTCCTACCAGTGCGCCAAAGGAGCCCCCACGTGAGGAACCGGAGCATCGCATAAAGCAGGACGCTAGGAGCTCTCCCGTCTCTCCTGCCCGTCCCAGCAGCCCCAGCGAGGGCCCGCAGCCAAAGAATGGTGGCTTTAGAGAAGCTTCGGAGTTGTGCGCCCAGGAGCGTGAAGACCTCTCCAAGGACGCTGACTCCTTGAGCTGCAAGGAAGACCTTCACATTGACGAGCCGGACAAGCCGGAGAAAGCGGAACTGCAGCAAGGCGCCCAGGAAGGGTCGGGGAGAGAGGCTCAATTCGACAGGCTTATCAGGCAGTCCAAGCTGTGGTGCTATGCCAAAGGCTTCAATGTAGACGGGAAAGGTTTGCGCAGGGCCGAGCAGGCCAAAGGGAGTTCCTCCACCTCCAAAGCCGGCCTCCTCAGCCTGGCCAACAAGCCTTTGGAAGGCGGCAGCGACTTGGAGAGGAACGCCAAACGTAGACGTGTCGAGCAGGAAAGGCAGGCCAGAGGGAGGCCCCCAAAGATTCCGAGGAAGACGACCAAAAAGGGGGCCACCCCGCCTTGTAAACGCTTGCTCAACACTAGCGCGGCTCCTATCAGGAATCCGTTTACTCTGATGGGCACCTTTCCCTGTACGCCCGCCTTGGTCGTTGGTTCCGATGGGGATCTCTGTCCTGCGTCTTCCCTGTGCGTAAAAGACTCGTGCACCCTCTCCAAAACGCACCCGCTTTGGACCTGGCAGCTGGGGGGCAATGCCATCCCCGTGCCCCCCAGCCTGAAATTCCGGGGATACAGTTTAGAGGACTTCTAGATGGAGGATTTAAGCTGATTTACGTGCAACAGGTTGTCCTTATGGCGGATGGGGGGGCGCGAAGAGATGAATAGAATATGAAGTCGAGAAAAGCAAATCTAGCATTGCAGTCGTAAATATATTTGCTCGGAACTCAGCTTATGGTTTCAGTGGCCTTTGATTCCAAGTAAGTTTGCTAATGAGAGCGGCTTGTGATTTTTAAATACACTTGCCTAGAAGTAAGTTCCACTGAAATAGATGGGGCTGATTTTTAGAGTGACAGTGTAATCAATACACGACTGCTCAGAATTAAGTCCCACTAAGTTCAATAGGTCTTACTCCGAGGTAAGTGGGTTTATGGTTGCATCCTAATGCTTTTTTTTAAAACGCCCTTGAGAACCCCTTCAAAAATGAAATGTCTAGCATTCCTTTACTGTAAAGGAAAGCCTTTTTTTTTCCTTCTAAAAGTGCCCTCTCATTTTTCATGTTCTTTCAAGATCCAACAACTTCTCGCAATGTTGAAATTTGAATCATGCTTGACAGCAGGCCTCAAATATGGAGGGAGCCAAAATAGCTGATTTTTTTTTAAAAACAAACTTTCAAATACTGGTGATGAGAATAAAAGAGACTGGACAGTAAAATCCAGTACAGAATTTTCTAAAACAAACAAATAAATAAAATGGTGGGTAAGCAATACTTTATAGCAATTGTACTGCGGGGAGCGGGACAGCACGAATAATAATAAAGACAAAGGCAGTTTGGGGCCGATCTGGGCTCCCCTCTCCTTTTAACATGGAATGGTTCGTTCCATGCAGAGAAATTTGGAAGAGTTGTGGGGGGGGGGTTTTGCAGGGAATGAGAAAGTTTCTAGCATGCCTCCCCTCCCCCTCCCAATTGAAAGACCCTTCTCTTCTCCCCCTCCCTGTTCTCCAAGTTAAAAGTATACTCCCTTCCCCTCCCCCATCTTTCTTCCTTAATTTGGAAGAGAAATGGAATGGCCTTTCAACCAGTGCACATTAAACTCATCAAAGCGTTACTCCCCTCCCCCCTCCATCCACTTCCTGATTAAAACTAAAACAAGACAAAAGTGACTATTTCATCCCCAACAGGAGAACTTAGAAAGAAATATGCGGAATGAAATTCCTTCTTTGCTTGAATTAAGGAAAAATAGTGCCAAAAGTTATTTTTAAACGAAAGTAATCATATTCTACTGTCTACCGGAGGGAGAGGCGGCCCTTTGAAAAATTCCTGATCTTGCGTGCACCAAAAAGGAGGAAAGGGGTTGTTTGAAACTGCTGCATATTTTAAAGGGGATTGTTTAGTGGTTAATAAAACCCTGACTTAAGTAGCCTAAGGTAACATTCTGTTTATTTAAAAAATTGCTGGAAAAAAGAAATTGGATCCAGGGGCAAATTTTTCAATGGAACGCAGATGGACAATTTGATCTCCAAAGCGGAATGCAAAAAAAAAAAGAGGGAGTCTTTTGCCAAAGGAGATCGAATCCACCTCCCCCATACAAACAACTCTTCTTTATTTTTCCTAGTGTGATATTCGCCTTAGTCTTCAAAGGTTTCTCTGCCTCTCTGAAATCAAACCCAAACCAAGTCTTCAACCCCAAGGGGGAGAAAATACATATTTGCAAGTCGGCCTCTATTTTTCTTAAAAACACACACATGCAGGCAGAGTTTCAAAATCTGGCACAAGCCAGAACTCACTCCTGAGTAGGCCTGGAGTTGCTGCACAATCAAAGGCGGTTGTTGACAGAAAATGTTATTTAGAAGTGCAAAGCATCTTTAACTGGGAGTAATTATTGGGATTTAAAACCCAAGGTCTAAACGTGTTTATCTGAAAGTAAGCCTCGTATTGACTGACTGTATTCCCAAGTGACTGTTCTAGGAATGAGATGCCAGTCTTTGTTCACATTTTTATATATATATATATATATATATATATATGTGTGTGTGTGTGTGTGTGCGCGAATGTGAGTGTGTGTGTGTGTACACAGACACACACACATATACATACGTGTGTGTGTATATATATATCTTTTCCCTAGTAAAGGGGATTAAGAATGGATTAAAACCCTAGATTACAACTTGAGGGGGAAAAAAATCAGAGATTGATTTGGAAATGTCACAGCAATGCAAACTGAACTTGGATATATTGAGAAACATATGTTTTAAAAGACAAGTGTTTAAGGTTGCAATCCTGAATGCAGTTACATGAAAATAATCCCACATGGCAATTGCTGGTACTCCCTTCTTGATTAAACATGTTTATATATTAAAATGATTTTTCAGCCAAAATATACTGTCTTCCGTAGACTGCAGTCTTATGCTTACTTATTTGGGAGTAAGGCTCTGTGGAAACTACTTCTGAGTAAACCTGCTTAGGTCAGTTACCTTTATTTTTTTCCTCCTTGCCAACTTGTCCTTTGTTGAAAAGGAGATGTTTTGTTGTCAAAAATAATTATCCTTGAAAGGAAGATACTTTGCCCTAAAAGAATCTTTATTTTTGTGAAGAGAAAATGCAAGTAAATTAATTTTAAAAAAGAATTACAAACTTGGGGCATCGCAAAGATTTTGTGCAGTTTCTCTTCATTTTGATTATGCAGGAGAATTTTTCACTGTATGCCTGAAATCTTTAAAAAACAACCACCAGCAAAAGGTAAAACAAGTTATTTATGGCAGCATCATATAACTTGTAGAAGGATAAATGGCCATAAGCTCCCCCTTTTGGTCCTAAAAGATGAGTTTGGTTGCTAAAGTACTTTTGGGGTGAAAAGACAAAAAGGGTTATTTCCTATTTAAGTACTGTACAGCTTGCCCTTTGGGAAGGTGTTGTGATGACTTGGTAAAAGGAACAACAAGGAGAACATAAGGTGGAGGAGGAACATGTTGCAATTGTCTTAATTTTTTTTTAAACAAAGTAAACCACACATCCCCTCAGCCCTGTCCTATTGCTTTTCTGTTCAAAATATGAGTCGAACTTTGCTTAAAAGAAAAGGGGTTTCTGATGTTTGCAAAGCAATGCATGGCATTAGTTAACTGCACACACTATTTTCAAAGGAATGTGGAATTTGATGGAGGCCAAATATTGACACATCCCCCCACTTAATTTCTACCTTAACTTCATTGTGAGCTTTGCAAACATGAACCACAAAAAGGAGAGCATAAAACAGCAAATTGGGTGGTGGTGGTGGGGAAATAATACTTAAATTGAACCTGGAGATATAACGTATTTGTTAACATGAAGAAAAATGCTTCAGCTCTCATTCTCACATCATAACCCAGTGAATGTAGTCCGTGCATTCAGAAACAGGTTTCAGTGGCAGATCACATATATCTGTATGGAGAAACCTGCTGAGTAGGGATGTGTGTAGGGTGAGTCTGCACCCAGCAATGGAAATCATGCATGCTTCTTTACCTCATAGAAGATGTCTAGGCACCCCGAGATCGTGTTCTTTCATCCGCAGGCACTGTTGTGATTGTGTGTATGGGCTGCTCTCCTGGTACTCTGGATCAGGGCCTACACACCAGGCCTTCATCTCCCTCTCCCTTCCTTTCCCTTTTCTTATATAAAATAACTTAATACTGTATTTAAAAATTGATTAGAAGAAGGGAAAATAAAAGATATGTGAAGGGCCTGCAAAGAGGAGGTCACAATTAGGGATTTTTTTATATTTCATTAAGCAAAGAATAACCTCTCTTGTCTATAGCCCACTGATCCAGCTTCAGTTTGTAAGACACCATACCATCATGAGCAGGATCCACTAGATCTTGTGCAAGTCCTTTTGACATGAATTGGAACTGCATAACAGCACGATTGCTCACAGCTCCCTATCATTTCAAAAAGGATCTTGGTGGATTGGGCCTCTTGTCATGTGTGCGTGCGCGTGTGCACGTGTGTTTGTAGCTTTGGTTTCTTTGTTATTAAAAATGTACATGCAGATAGGAATGCACGTGTTCCTTAAGGTATGTAGGCATGGAGTACTGGTATTTATTGCCCCTCCCACACATATTTGCACATGTAGAAAAGCGTATATGTATGTCACATTCACATGTAGATTATAAGCACATGTGTATAAAAGACCTTAGTATATGTATGTATGTGAGAGAGAGAGTGCACAAGAACAAATGCCTACTTACACAGATTGTGTGCATATATGTTTGCTGAATTATATGAATTAATATTTCAGGAAGGAATCAGTAGCTACCAAGTGGCACATTAGAGACTAGCTATATGCTTAATCGTGGAATAAGTCACATTCAACCCAGGGACTTGCTTCTTTCTAAACATGCTGCAGGAGTGCATTCCTGCTTCTTCAGCCATCAGTGCCAGAACTCCCATTGACTGCAGACTTCATTGGTCTTCAGATGGGGAATTGCCTCAGTTCATTTCTCTAAAGGAAGTGGGTCTGTATGGACATAAGGAAATTTCTCAAAGATCTGCTTCCTCTTTTGAAATGAATGGGGACAATTTTTGCAGGTAGCGGGCATCTATTTCTTGAGTGTGGTGGGACTGCTTCAGGGATAAGAAGTTGCTGGATTTGTGTATGCTTATGCTATGGCCATATACCAATTAGGTTCAGTGTGTTCCTAGGAGTATTTTCACACATGACACTAAATATACCTTTTGTCCTTGCCGTTGAAATGCGAATATAAACCCTACATTTGCAGATCTGTGCATTTGACTTGTTTTGTTAATGATGCTCTTGCTTTCTAAGCTATATTAATAGTATTCACACAGATGTGCAAAGAAAGACTGCAGGGTGCTTTTAAAGTTGGGTAGGAAAATACCCTATTCTCCAGTGTTAAATTTCAGTGTTATTTTAGGTATTTTAAACTCTTCCTCCACTCCAAACACCTTTCATATTTTTAATGTGATGAATGTAACATGGGAAGCACCTGGTTTTAATGTGAATATTGATCCTTGCAAATGTGACTTTTAAATTCAGATTGTGTGACAAAGGCATTATCTTGCTCCTGTGAATAGATGAGCTTCTAAAGAGGCATCTCACT